CACAAGCCATGAGCAATCCACTAGAGTACCTTTTGGCTCTCCACCGGGGAAAGGGGAAGAACCCCTCACAATCACCACGATCGGAGCCGGAGACAATCACCAACCTCCGCTCGACGATCCTCGCTGCTCCAAGCCGTCTAGGTGGCGGCAACCACCAAGAGTAACAAGCAAATCCCATAGCAAAACATGAACACCAAGTGCCTCTAGATGCAAATACTCAAGCAATGCATTTGGATTCACTCCCAATCTCACAATGATGATGAATCAATGATGGAGATTAGTGGGAGGGCTTTGGCTAAGCTCACAAGGTTGCTATGTCAATGCAAATGTCCAAGATAGTGAGCTTGGGCCGGTCATGGGGCTTAAATAGAGAGTCCCCACGAATAGAGCCGTTGGCTCATCTGTCTAGTGAAACACGGGCTGACCGGACGCGCAGGTTAGGTTGACCGGACGTAGGACCCCAGCGTTCGGTCGCCCGATGCTCACCATGTGTCATCAACCTCAAATGCTGAGCGCCCGATCTTAACGGCTAGTCTGCTTCATGCCACGTGTTAAGTTGCTACCGGACGCACTTCTCAAAGTGACCGGACGCTCCATCACTGGAGTCCAGTCGTTTCCAGTAAGGCACTAGAGCCGGTTTTTCTGACCGGAGGCATCTGGTCCACCATGATTGGACGCGCTGGTGTGTCCGCTCCTCCTCCTCTTCTCTACGTGCCGCCATGTCAGCAGTACCGGATGTTGAACAGTGTTCAGCCAGAGTCCAGTCACTTGCGTCCGGTCTCAGGCCGAGAGTAGCCCGAGCACACCACTGATTTTATAAATGACCGGACACTACTGCCCCGAGTCCGATCACCTCACGACCGGCGTCCGGTCACTATTTTTCAGTGACTATCACCTCCTTCACTTCACCAACTTCTCCACCCTTGCTCAAATGTGCCAAATACCAAGTGTATCACCTTGTGCACATGTGTTAACATATTTTCACAAATGTTTTTAAGGGTGTTAGAACTCCACTAGATCCGAAATGCATATGCAATGAGTTAGAGTATCTTGTGGCACTTTGATAACCGTATTTCGATACGAGTTTCACCCCTCTTAATAGTACGGCTATCGATCCTAAATGTGATCACACTCGCTAAGTGTCTCTATTACTAAACCGAAAAGCTCCTATCAATTTCACCTTTGCCTTGAGCTTTTTGTTTTTCTCTTTCTTCTTTTCCAAGTCCAAGCACTTGATCATCACCATGGCATCACCATTATCATGATCTTCACCGTTGCTTCACCACTTGGAATAATACTACCTATCTCTAGATCACTTAGATAAACTAGGTTAGCACTTAGGGTTTCATCAATTCACCAAAACCAAACTAGAGCTTTTAGCTTTGGCTGCCAAGATCCTTTCCTCTAACATCTTCCTCTGCCTTTGCTTCTTTGGTTTCATTTTTGGGTTGATGTCTAGTGAATGTTGTATAATTTCTCTGCTAACTCCTTGCAGGTCAGAGGCTGATCATGCGAAGATGTCTTTGTTTTTGCTGAGGACCTCAAGGAGTTCTTCTTCTTTGTTTGAGAGGTTACCTCTGATAATAACCTTTCTGTCTAGGATTGCGCCTTCGAGGGGGACTAACTTTGTTTCTTGTTGTTCCTTGAGGTCTGTTTTCCCTTTAGGCGTGTCTGGAGGCTGTAGTGTGCTATTCTTGGCTGCTTGGATGGAATTGATGTTCCTTTGAGACTTGTGTATGATCCTTTCTATGTTTCTTGCCTCTTTCTGAGTGCCATGGATGATGATGACTCCATGAAGGGCTGGCATCTTCATGCAGAGATGGCCCATGTGGATGGCCACATTGAATTTGTTAGCATAGCCTCTACCAAAGAACACATTATATGGGTAGTAGAGGTCGACAACGTCAAAGGTCACGTATTCTGTTCTAGCATTATGCTAGTCTCCAAAGGATACAGGCAATGAAATTTTACCCAATGCATCAATTTTCTTGCCTCCAAAACCGACCAGTGGAGAGTCCGAAGGCTACAATTGATTTCTGCTCAGCTTCATCTGATCGAAGGCATTGACAAAAATGATGTCTGCCGAACTCCCTGAATTGACCAAAATCCCGTTGATCTCCTAGGCTACAATGTTATCCTTGATTACCATTGCATTTGCATGGGGTAGCTTTCCATGTTGAGGTCTTGCTCGGAGAAGGTCAGGGGTGTCTTTGACCAATTCGTGTAACAGACTGGGCCCTGCACTGCTACATTGTTGACTAGTCTGAAGTGATCATTTTTCTGCTTCTTTGTTTGAAACTCCAGTGATGAGCCTTCGGCGATTGGTAGTATCATGCCAATGGTTGGTAATGGTGTGTGTGGGTTGAGTTGGTTTTCGAGGAGAGGTCACTATTTGGTGTTGTTATCTGTGTTGTAGACGGAGGTGGTGGTAGAGGTTCAAGCTGTCTGTTTTGAAGTTGTGAGGGTTGGTTTGTCTCAATGTAAGTGATGTGCGGAGGCCTAGGATTTATATAAGTTAGATTGGCCTCCGCTCGTTGGGTGCTGGACTGCCCTTGCTGTAGGGGCTGTTTAGTGTTTGGACGCCATGCAGGCAAGAAGTTGGGGTAATATGCTGCCGCTAGGGTGGATGGGTGTATTTGAGTGGAGTTCAGGCTCGGATACACAGGGCAATACTATTGTTGTTGCCAAGGTGTGGCGGAGGCATGATTCACTTCTCTTGCTGGTTGCTACTGCGGAAGCTGTGGGTTTTGCCTACTCTTTATCCTTTCTTGAGTTTCTTTGGCATCTGGGCAATCCCTAGTGATATGTCCTTTGTTTTCCCCATGGAATAAGCAATACTGCCTTTGTGGCTTCTGGTTTTGATTTCTGTTCCAGCTCTTGCCTTGGTTGTTTCTTCTGTTGTCTTGCTGGTTGTACGGCCTACTGCTTTGCTCAGCCTGTTGCGGCTGCTGAGCTTGTTGGTCATTTCCTTGGTGATCTATGTTGAGAACTTGTTGGTTGGACCCTCGCTGTGACTGATTTTGACTTCTATTGTCTCTTGGCAAATTTCTATTGTTGCTTTGAGCCTGCTTGTACTGTGCTTGTTCTTCCAATCTCTTGCGAAGGTCACTATCAGATCTGTAGTATTTCTCGAACTTGTACAACTCTTCAATGGTCGAAGGCCTCTCTCTGGCCAAGTGACCTGCGAAGGCTTCGATGTGGAGGCCCTTGATCGCTGCTTCAATGGCTACGTCTTTAGGGATGTTTGGTGCTCTTGCTTTGAGTTGTACAAATTTCTGGTAGTATTCTCTTAGAGTTTCTCCTTGTTGTCGTCTACACTAGAAGAGATCTGAGGATGTTAAGGACTCGCTTGAGAACCCCTTGAAGTTTGCCATGATCATGTCACGGAGGTCCTCCCAAGAATACACTGACTTGGGTCTTAGCATGGAGTACCTTGCGAGGGCATCGGCTGCAATGACAAAGGATTTTGCCAAAACCGTGTTGTTTCCACCAGCGGAGGCTATGTCTGCCTTAAAACTCATGATGAATTGGTGCGGATCTGTTTTTCCGTTGAACTTGGGTAAAGTGATGCGTTTGTAAGAAGATGGCCATGGGGAGCTTTGAAGCCATTCGGACAATAGAGACTTGGCATCTATGGACCTTTGGAGTGGTGGCATGGAGTACAGTGTGCCGAAGGCTGGTTGAGCTGCGGGCTAGGTGAAGGGTTTGGTTGATTTTGAGCTGCTGGTTGGGGTCGATTGGAGTTGATTGATGGAGGTTGATTTAACTGTAGGCTTTGGATTTCAGCTTGTAGGATAGCCAGCTGTCGTCGGACTTTTGCTATCTGCTATGACATTTGAATTGCTCTTTGGCTTGCGGTGAAGGCTGCTGCGAGCCTGTCTCTTTCTTGCTGCGCATTTCATAGGTCAGCTTGTAGCTGTTGGAGCACTTGCTATGGCGTGGGGTTTGGATTGGGCTGAATACCTTCCACTGAAGGTTGGTTAGCCGGCGTGGGCTCCTCTTCCTTGACTTGGGCTTTTGAAGCGCTAGCTAATGTGCTGCAAGTGGTGCGCTTGGGCCTTCCCCTGGTTGATGTTCCTGCTGGGGCGCTAGCAGAGGCTTGTCTTTTGTGTAGCATAGTGGGTTTTTGCTTGGCCTAGAACGGTGGGCGCTAATGTTGGGTTAGCGGTTCCCCAACAGACTTAGTACTCAGAAATTTCCGTCATAGGCAAAGCGAAGGTCGAAACAAGTAAGACAACAGCTCACATGACTCAATTAGGGTTTCATTGATATCTTGGTTTCGCTCTTTACATGGGGTTTGCTCTCCCCTTTTATAGGTCACTATACAGAGTTAAGTTCTTTTACATCTATGCCCTGCAACCGACATGGCATATTCTAGGGATATACCCGTACAACTACAGACCTCCGGGGGTATCCTCGGCCTTCTCCTTCTAAATCGCCTCGCTTCGTGGGCCTTGCTTGGAGCCCGCTGGTGGCCCATCTGGAGCGCACAATGAGCCCCCCCCTCCGAGAGCTCGGCCCTCTGGCGGCGAAGGCTTGGCCTTCACCGGCTTCCTGCGTTGATTCATCCTCTTCCCCCCGGCGACCTTCGCGGCTTCTCCGTGGGCGCCGCCTTGAAGTGAACTTCGGGCCTTCACTGATGGCGCCTTCGCTCCCCCTGGGCCTTCGCATGGTCCGGTTGTCATAGGAGAAGGCCCATATAAGGTCCCTGTGTAAACAAACACAACAGCTCATTTTTTTGGCTCACCTCATCCATTGGATCAGCATCTAGTGGTCCTGATTGGTAGTTTCCAAGTTTGCATAGATTAGTTGGTTTATTTATATCACCCATGCATGGTTGAGCTGAGCACAAGATCGAGCAAACCTCCAAAAGCGTAAATACAAGCGTGTGCACGCAACGTCGATGCTCAGTAGTATTCTACTACCTTTCCTAGGCTTTGAATCTGATTGCTCGAACCAAACAGATCCAGGGAGCTGAGAGGAGATTGTTCAGTAGCAGCATGGCCACCTCGTCACCGCTGCCACGCTGGGCGGCGACGCCGAGCCCGTCGCGGCCATTGTTTGCTTCGTCATCAACTGCTGCCGGCGGCGGCAGCCGCGTGCTGCCCCCGTTCGGTGCCGTACTTGCAGCCTTACGCGGTCGTGGGAGTGCCTCGTTGACGGGGGAGGCACAGCCGCCACCGCCGCCGCCCCTGGCAGGCGCGATGGGTGGCCTTCCTTCTGGGTTTGATGGCATAGACCACCTTGACGGCCCCATGATGGATGGCATCGTCTGTCGCGACGGTGGCATGTTCACAACGTGGGAGAACATTTGGGTGACGGCGCGCGGTCGACGGCAGGGGGAAGGCCACCACCATTCTGCACGGCGTCAGCGGCAGCGCGCGCCCTGGCGAGGTGCTGGCCATCATGGGACCCTCCGGGTGTGGCAAGACCACACTGCTCGACACCTTGGCCGGTAATTATATTCACACGAAACTGCTCATTTCCAAGCGTATATTTGGCTTCTCAGATCACCCTAAAAAGAATTGGAACAAATGATTGCTCCTTTTTATTTCCTGACTCCGTGTGACTATTGTACAACCAAGGAACATCTCGCTCGGTTGAACTTCTTACAAACGAACCTCCATCCACCCAGCCAGCGCAGGCCGGCCCTATACAATTAATTAATCTTAACAAGCTGGCTCATGGGTAACAGTATTCTCTTGCATTGTTTCAAGAGCAATAGTACGTGCACACACATAGATGCGCTAAATATGTCAAAAGGCATACTTGTGCATGCTACGTTACTTGGGCCTCAAATCTTGTTTGATATATGTGTTACGACGCATCCACATGGATGTATGAGTGCTCTGATCCATAGGTGATTTATTGGACTATGTATATGTTAGACATATTCAGTATATACTCTTAAAAAGATGATTTCCTACAAAAGAAAATGTTAACCATAGGAGTAGAAACCTAGCTACATGTGTCGAAGCGTTTCCAATTTGATTTGGCTTACAACCACAACTGTTAGCTTTACCTTTTCTTGAATGAAAAATTTTGGGCCTCTATGACTTCACATGGCCAAGTCCTTACAACCTTTAATTTCCCACTCAAGAGATCATCAAATAAAAAAATGAAAGGAAATAATTATAAGTAAAGACTATTGCTTCTCCAACGATTCTCTTGACGAATTGCATGTCCAGAACGAGATAATCTACAAAACTATGCTCATAGAATGAACCGTACGTCTCTCTTGTTGCATGCATCACCTGCAGCAACAGCGAGAATGAATTGCAGTCGATCAACATATTCACCCAATAGGTAACGGTTGCTTTTTACCTAACAAACCTGCCAATATATCACCTCGTTGAAATTACAATTTTACTCTATTATTATCTTTCTGTTTGGTTAAAATGCATTTTATTACTTTAATTAAATATTGTTTTGAATGCCTGTGAGGCAGGTGGGAGACTGAAATTTATTCACCAAAAGAACTATTAGCCAAAGGAAAAGTCAAAGAACTACTCCCTCCATTAAAAAATGCAAGACATTTTGACATATCTAAATATATGGTTACACTCTATATATATTTAGACATAGCATATATCTGAGTGCATAGCACAAGCAACATATCTTGGAAAGAGAGAACGTCTTGTAATTTGGAATGGAGTGAGTATTAGCCAAAGGGGACAGATTTTACTTGTGGTACATCAGGAATCATATATGGTTTTAATTTGCAAACAAAAACGACCCGTGGTGTCTTTATCATAGACTTTTCAATTAGAAATTGTTCATAATGAAGCATCCAAAAAACATGGGCTAGCGATTTAATGTTGATTGTGAATCGTGTCCACCATGTGCCTAGAATTGGATGGCTATGGTCGCATTTGGTAGGGCTCGGGCTCCTTCTAAAAGGGCTCCAGCTCTGGCTCCTTTATGTGGAGTAGTTTTTCTGGTGCAGCCGAAGCCGTTTGGAAAACGTTTGGATAAAAAACGGCTCGGGTGGTAGTTCTGTAATAATTTGTATTAGGTTTGTGAAGATAAACCGAGAGAAGTCACTTTGTTTTTGGACTTCGGCTCCTCTATACAAAAACGGCCCCGGCTCCCCCTGGTTCCTTGCGAGATTATTGGTATGGCTCTTTACAAGGAGGCACAAGAATATGGAGCATGAGCCCTGCCAAACATGACCATATACGTGGATCAATATGGTGCATCCCATAATGTGGGCAAATATTACGATTCATAAATGCAGCTGAATTCCTGTCCAACCTCAAGTTGGTAGACAATTGTGTGGACCATGACACTATTAATTAATGTAGATTAGTAGACATCAACGTAAGAGTTTCAAGTTTTTCACTTTCATATGAAAAAGCTTATTCCATACTCCATCCATTTGTAATCATATAGTCTACTTTGGATTTATCTTAAGTCAAAATTTTCTAATTTACTAAGTTATTTGAAAAAATATTAACATTTAAATTCAAATAAATGTTCTATCAAAAACATTTCATGGAGAATTTACTGAAATATTTTTGATGTTACAGAACTAGTTTAAAGTTTAATTTTTTTTACTTAAGTTAAAGTGAACTATAATTAAAATCAGATACAATATTTTGGCTTCAATAAATTATACAAGACAATATAAAATAGTGTATTCCTTGTACTGATTAATAACAAAATGACTTCCAATGTCTTGTCACAATATGGGTGACACAGTACTTGAATAAACTAATGAATTTGCCGTAGCCAACAAATGATTGTTGCAGAAGCAATAATACAGCTCAAATATGTTGGATGCGCATCGAATATTTTTTTTTGCGCAAGCATCAAATATGTTTATAATTTGGTTACTAGAGGACTTCGAATTGTAGTTTTATAATACAGTTTAATAAGTAAGAACTCTGTACCAAGGGCGTCATAAATATGAGACCATTCATCCTCTATTTTAATAATATAAGACTACTTAATTATAATGCCAAAAAAATATTTTTTACGATAGTTTTTATATTTTTTCAGACGATTTTGTGAACCGCTAGTGTGAAAGGCAAATGAAAATGATAACATTACACTGGCACAAGCTTAACAACACTAGTGTGTAGCATGGTTGTTTGATTGAACTAGCTCAATCATGTAACACCAGAAAAGAAGTCGTCTAGGAAGGACAGTGGTTTTTGTTTACATGGAAGATGGCTTAGCATATCGTGCCCAAGTTTGTATGATAGTAAATAGGTGCTCTATTATTCATAAGTTATAAAATTACCCTTGCGGTCACTTAATTATAATGCCAAAATAAATCAATATATATATATGAATTACATATTTGACATCAGAATCACTAAATTATAATGCTGAAATAAATCCATATATACGAATTGCATATTTCGACATCAGAATTTTATAACTTATAAAATGGAGAACTTCAAAACTGAAACAGAAAATGTTTTCTTGCAAGCAGAAATTGTTATTATGATGTTCTGATTGTTTCTGAAAACTCACTGAGAAGTGACCTTCATTTGTAGCTCTTGGAAAAACTTCTTACCATATTATGGCCAAGCTTTTTAAAAACATACTATTGGTAGAACTATTACGGATATTCTGCTTAAATAATCCAAGCTATATTGATCAATATATATAAACATAGGGAGGCTGGACACTAACCTGAGGAGTAAAGGAGATATTCTCATCAATCACTACTACAGATTTGGATGTCACTGTCGGCCTCATCACTACCGGACTTGTGAGAACCGACAGTGATGTACCTTCACTGCCAGTTCTGAGCTTGAAAATGAAAAAATGATTGGGGCTAGGCTAAAACCGGCAGTGAAGAACCACATCACTGCCGGTTTGTGGCTTGCACCGGCAATGAGTTGGCGGCCATTTATCACTGCCGGTTCTAACCAAGAGCCGATAGTGATTTGGTGCTATAACTGTCAGTTCGAGCCAAGTACCGACGGTGATAAAATATCAGTACAAAAAGCTTATGCCGTCCTCTCCTTCCTCCTTTCTTCCATCCCGAGCACAGAGGCGCCCGCCTCTATTGTTGCGGCTGCTCTTCAGCGTGAAGCTAGCTCTTGGATTTGGAAGAATGGCTTGATCTTTTTGCTTTAAGGTTAGTAACAAGCATCCACTCCTTTGATTTTGTAGCTTAATTAGCGTTGTTTTGATGGCTACATTGCTTGATTCTCATTCTAGTTCTTTCTCCATTCTAGAGAGCACTTTTCCAATTGGACTTTGTGCAAGGCTTACAAGCAAATTGTGGTGAATTCATCATCCAAAAGGTTGGTGTCTTTGAACACATTTAAAATCCTAGCTAATTACATGGTGGTCAAGATCATTGTTAGTATGTGATGCTATAATTAGTTCTTGATAAGAGTAGAGTAGATTCTTTTACAATTTTGGTGAGCAAATTAATCCATGTGTCACCTACCAACACATTGTTTGGAGCTACATTGTTGTTCATGGTCATGTCACAAATTTTAGTCTTTTTTAAAAAATTAGTGTTTTCATTTTTATGTGGCATCGAGTAGAATAAATGTTCTTCATTATTGTGCAATAATTATTTTTTATGGGGCTACCAATTTTAATTTTTCAATAATTAGTGTACAATAACGTTTTCCAAAAATGGGGTGACTAAATTAAATAAGTGTAGAATAAATGGTACTTTTGAGTTACAATTGTTGTTAATGAAGCTCGACTTCTTATTAATTTCTCTATAATTACCGTCTCAATATTTTTTTGTGTAGAGATAGATCGAGAGTGGATGCATCTGTCCTGAATGGACAAGCGGTACATGTATGGCGTCAGCCAGTTTATCACCAATGCCAAAGCCCAAGCTAGGAATGAGAACCATGTCTTCTGCCCATGCAAATATTTCATGAATCAAAGAAAATGGGCTCAAATTGAGTCTTTACGAATGCACTTGATTACCAGGGGGTTCATGCCAAACTATACGATATGGACTATGCATGGTGAGCTTGGTGTAAATGTTCTGCATGAAAACGATGATGATGAACCTGGTGTCAACACAGAACCTATAGCCATAGTTAATGATATGTTTAGGAACACGCTAGCTGATGACACCGAGGATAACGATGGCATTTCTCAGCTGCTACGTAATGTAGAGATCGGATGTCTTAGTGAAAGGCAGCTGAGAAAGCTAGAGAAAATAAGACAAGATGGCAAAACACCATTATATAAGAATTGTCCAATGAGCAAATTGGAAGCCGACATCATGCTGTTAGAGTTCAAATCGACAAACGGATTGAGCGATAAAAGCTTTGATTAGTTGTTAGGTATAATAAGGAAAATGCTCCCAGAAAAAAATGAGTTGCCAGAAAAGACATACCTGGCCAAGCAAATGATCTGCCCCATCGACCTCGAGGTTGAAAAAATCCACGCGTGTTCCAATGATTGCATATTATACCGTGAAGATGAATACAAAGACTTGGATGTGTGCCCCAAGTGTGAAGCTCCA